ATAAGACATAGAGCTGGACCATTCGCCATGGAAACAATGCCCAACTTGTCCTTATGATATACACGAACGAGTTGCACAACTACTTCTTTTTTCTTTTGGGCAGATGACTAGGCCATTCGCCATGGAAACAATGCCTAGCCGCCCTGAGCTGTTTAATATCCAAAGATTTAATATTTCTCTGACTTTGTTTTCAAAAGAAAAAGCAAATATGGGCAGGGGACTGAACCATTCACAGTAGAAACAATGTTCAGCTTGCCCAAACTATTTTCATTTATACTTTGTATTTTTCTTTTTCTCTTCTTAATGATATKGCTTMACGYTKGACCATTCACAGTAGAAACAATGCCCARCTGCMAGTTCACATGCAAATATACATAAAATACTTTCCTTTATACTTAGTTTAAATTATATGCGTGGTTTTCAGGCTAAACCATTCACCATGGAAACAATGCTTAGCCTTAGACCAAAAAATTCCTCCCTCAGAATAACCAAGATTTTAAACCCCTTCAATCAGACAACCCTCAGAGTTAACTAAGGTAGCCAGACCATTCACAGTAGGAACAATGTCTGGCTCCCCAGAAAACAATCAAATAAACACAGCGACCAGGCCATTCACAGTAGAAACAATGCCTGGTCCTTTAGAAAACATCCAAATAAACATAGCCCTAAGCCATTCACAGTAGAAACAATGCTCAGGCTTTGGTTGACCCGGTCAAACACATGCAGTCTACCTTCCTTCCACCTTCCCCCAATTCATCCTTAGTCTGCTTTCAATCAGAACAAAGTAGAAACTTAGGCTTCACTTTCACACGTCCCTTCCATTCAGTCTGATTTGGGTCCTGAAGAGAAAGCAAAAGCCATAGGGYCAAACGCATGCATACAACAATCATACTGCARGGAGATAGGYAAACATAGGTAGTAGTASGCTGTACGGATRAAGATGATTTACCTGAAGGTTCCCTGCCTCCAGAACCTCGCCTAGGTTCCGGCAGAGCTCSCGCAATCGGTGGGTGGACTTCYYACAAAGTCTTGATGCGGACCTACGGGTTGCAATCCCGCCTGCCGCCTTCCTCTCGTAGCCAGTARACTAGACTTAGATTAAGAAGGGTAGAAGGARAAAAGTGTGAGACTCTCAGATCCAAGAATGGTGCCCTCAGACTCGCAAGAGAGGGCCTTGATACCTTCACTCGCCTRAGGGCCCCCGCAATGGTGGCCAACCGTACTATGCCTAGTCAACTTGCAGCCAAACGCAGAAGAAACGACACTYTGACGAACCCCCAGACCGCAGTGGTACCCCCCCCYTTTTTAAAGCCCGATCCTTCCTCAAGTCACAGTAACTCACCCTCCAACTAACGCCGCCTCTATGCACCTTGAGAAGGTCGGGTTTGGACTGCTCACATCCCCCTGTGCTCCTCTTGAATGGTAGTATTGATAACTGAGACCGCGTTCTCAAATAACAACGTCACCTCCAAGTTGYCRCACTCACTCCCGCATCCTCCACCGTTCRGAGCAATACCCTTACTCACGAGCTTAGATCGTCCATAGCTCAAGTAACACCGGTCATCAGACAGATCTGTGTTGATYCGTARTCCCCGCGGCTAGTCTGYCGCTGCCTTRACCAGCAAACAGGGCACTACATCGGCTAATAAGAAGGCCTTTAACTCCATGGATGCTCCCCCGCCGTCCCTCCGAACAGGTAAACTTCCTCCCCGYGGACCAGCTTGAGTGGCCAAGTGAARTGYCRAKTACAGGCTGACCGTAGGATCTGACATAGCCCGCCACACTGTGCGCTCAAAAAGCCGTGCATAGCAGCATGTRCCCGTTATTCAACCCAGCAGTACGCAACAGCTCGCCCACTCTTCAGAAACAGTTGTGCCAAATAGCCTGCCGAGCAGCTGTCAGCATGGTCTGGTCACACCTTGCGTAAACTCTCTGCTCTTTGGCACCTCACAAAACTCGGATTGTAGAGGAGTTCCTTGGACCTTGTTACATTTGCAGACAACCTCACTCCACCCATCAAAGAACGGTCATGCACCGCCTGCCCCTAAAATGAAAAGTACTTCTCAGCTACCAATTGGTGTCGTGGCTATATCAGGTGAGTCTGTCTCTTCCCCTCTCGATTCTCTCTCACTCTCCTGGTCTCACCCATCGCTGCGCCCACTGCAACTTATTCGGCCGACGGCATCAGGCCAAAATTATGGTGGACCCTGGCACATCGGCCCCTTGCCTCACTTCTTCCCCCGCCCTGCTCTGCACCGCACAAGCGGGCAGATATACTACGGCAGCAGCCCAGTTCTGCGGACACCCGATAACTGTGTCTGCTACTCTCTTGGCTGCACTAGTGGGGCAGAATCTCTCGTCGGGTCGCAGTCGGGTGCCCTGCCTTTCAGCCACGCGCAAGGAGGATAGAAAGAGCCTACTGCGTCGATATGATGGGCAAAAGCAAGTCTCCACCGCCACGGCAGGACCTATGCTGCTTCCATTAACAATATGAGCAGAACACCGCCAATCGGATAAGTCTTCAGCCCCGCAGCTTGTCTCAAGTCACTCGGATCAGTTGGAGAAGCAAAGACTGAATGAATCTCTCCCTACAACGTGGGTAGGTTCACTCCAACATCCTGCACCGAGTCTGCCTTCGAAACTCGGCATCATCATAGCCGATGTCCTCAATCACTCTCCCGTGTTCCCTACCTCGTTCGCCCGAATCGACGCAGCCTCATGAAGTCGAGGAGTATCGCTATGGAGAGGGAGCCGCCACGTGAGGAAGGATACCACAGTGACAAGGAGGAGAACTTTGGCTTGCAATAGTAACACCCTCGTCAGCTCAACGATGCATACTCACTCCTGCCCCGTTTGTCTGGTGTCTACTTCGAGGTAAGTCCTTCCCTTGTTCCTCTCTACCTTTATCCTCCCTCTTCTTCGGTCGGTACGTCCTTCGATACGATGAGTAAGGATCCGGATGGATCGTCCACTAAAACACGGAAGTATACATTGTCAAATTTACCCCTTCYTCCTGGGCGCARCTATCAGTACTGRACCCCGACAAACTAACGTCTTAGTGCAGAAACTAACGCTGCTACTGCGTTCGCCCCGCCTCWAAYCCCCCATTTTGCATTTTGGTTCTCCCAAAACGACTAAGGAATGACCAAGATGGCTCGTTTTTACTCCCTCCATCGCTCCTCCCCGATGCCTCCACGCAGCTCATTTTCCCTCTCTCGCCAAAACTGTTACTCCACCGCCAAATCCAATGCTCCCATTCAACTCGGAGCGCCCCAAAACCCCCAGTTCAAGTCTTAAACTGCTGAAAACGGTCAAGGAATGACTGTGTTATGCCAAATTTTCTCCCACCTTCTTCCCTCTCCGCCATAGCTCCGCGCAGCCTATTTTTCTACTAACTCTCATCCTACTGACTTTCCACAAAAACTAACGTCAGATTTAGGGTCGCCCTATCCTAAAAGCCCTGTCCATTACCTTCCCCCGCTCGTTTTCATCAGGAAACGAGCGGGATATGCATCTTTCCCCTCAGCCATAGCTCCCCTTCTCGTTTCTGCACTCTTTCTTCCCCGTATGCACCTTGCGCAGAGCCCTGTCCAAATTCATTTCCTTCTTTCTCTTTATTTACCGCCTTGCTCACGGTGTCGCTGACCGCCTTGCTCAGCGYCTGTGCCCCRYCATGCGCTAAACTGCRCTCCCACAYAGACAYGACAACTAGTGCTACCAATATAGGCAGCGGAGTGAGTATCAACTCACTTCCAAATCGGCCTTTCCCGTCAGCTCAAGGTGCTGAGGCGTGCAGTCCATGTTTGTGTTGTTCAGGCCAGCCCCGCCACCGCGGTTTCTTCTGTCCCACTCTGCCCAGGCAGAGTTCACCACCTCTCGTGTCCCACTCTGCCCGAACCTTCGTATCCGCAACCCAATGCCGTAACCTATAGGGCTAAGCCCAAGCCTGAGACCAAAACACGCGGAGTGCCATATAAGATGGTGTGGCGAGGCGCTTCGGGCCAACGAAAACGGTTGCTCGGCTCTTAGTGCCCGCGCCGGCTTGCTTATACCCTGCCATATTTGCCCCGCGCTGTCGTCCTACGACATCCCGCTTACCGCACGAAATCGCGCCATTATTGCCGATGCCGTCGTCGGGGTCGTTCTCTGCACGCGCGCTTGACTCGGTCAAATGTACCAATCAAACGAAAATATCCTTAATTCCTGCTTAATCAAAAATAAATAAATAATTATATCACTAAGCAAAACGACCGAGGTCCGGGCCGACTTTACGATCAACAACAGAAAAGAATCACGCGCGCCTTAAACCTGCGCGCCCACGCACTCGCTATTGTGGTCAACCACCCAGTCAACGCAATTACAAACGCAGCCGTGCTTAGCGCGGTATACTTAAAATTTAAACCAAACATTTTTCTGTTACTTGCAAAACCCAGGGCGGATACCCTTGTAAGGGTATTCGCACCGACAGCCTTACCGGATCATATTAAGCGACGTCCCCGTCGCTTCGCGAGATTTGAAAGCTATAAATTCATTCACACTCCAAATGCTGACGAAAGAAGTGAGCCAATCCGATTAGCCGAGAAACACAGGGAAGAGGTCTCCATCAAACCATGCCTCCACAACTATATGCTGCCAGGTTTCTAACCTGGGCCTCACACCGTCCAGAAATTAGGACACTGGCAGCATAAGTTTCAAAGACCTTCCCAATCGTCCTCTCCCCGGTCCTAGAAAACCTTTGGCTTCTCGTTGGGTGTCCCTAGTCCAGGCAAAAACTAGGGACGCAGGCCTTAACCGAGACCTTTGAAGGCACTCTCGCCTTCTTTCTCAAAATCTCTCGCAATCAAATATATATATAAACTTAATATCCACTCCGCTCTTTCTGCAGTCTAGTACAGAAAGGCCCGGTCTTCATCTTGGCCCACCATAGCCTGGTTGATCGGACCAGGACTACGGCCCACCGCATTGTTAGTACCCTCGTTGGTTGCGCAACGATAGGGTTTCTTCTGATAGGCACTCAATTAGGACCTCCCAAAATCTCAACCTTCACTATCCCACGGAGTAATTTCCCTGGGGCGGGTAACTCCCCTTAAACTCTTACCCCGTGGTCCGGCAACCAGGTTGCGCCGGTTAGCAGCCATCCAGTGGGGTTACGCCCTAGAGGTACTAACTTCTTTTCCGTTAGCTTGGCCTTTCTTCAATATGTCTCAGAATTAGCACCAGTGGTTAAACGGGTGCGTCGCAAAACAAAATCACAGGCCCACTGCGCAATACGCAGGGGTCCGAAGGCATTTACCAGCCCTCCTTCAATAGGCATGGCCTCCTTCGCACACTTACAAGCAAAATCACCGCTAAATCCACCAGGCCGTGACCCCTGATTTGATCAGAGCCAGCAGCCACCCACCCTGAGACATCTCTCGCCCTTTACTCATTGCGACTTTCTCAAACATTTCAAACAAAAAGTGGCCCCTTTCTGTCAGACTTTATCACCCATCGAACAACTCATCATGCCATAAATCAATTTACTCACTTCTGAGGATGAGTCTTTCAACAAAAAAACACTCCCCTTTTCCAACAATCCAAAAGGGGCTCTCTTCATAACCAAAACACCCCCTCTTCCAAAAATCGCGAGGGGTCTCACCATAAAACAATACATTCCCTCTTCCAGAAATCACGAGGGTCTCATCATAAACAAAACACCCCCTCTCTCAAAATCACGAGGGGTTTCGTTACATCACAAAACATCACAAAACATCCCCTCTTTTTCAAAATCCAAGGGGGTCCCATCATAAAACAGAACATCACTGAGAGACCATCTTATGGGTCCTCATCACAACTTAGATAACTTTCACAGATGGACTGCGCTTCCTCCCTTATACTCTGCCTTATCAGCTGCCGTGGGCAGGTCGCACAAGTATACCGAGGAGTAGACAGTTTTACTTACAATCATATTCACATACCCAACATACATAAAAGGTTTTTCACACATTGTCCACACAAACTCATCATACATCAGAGTACAACCACACATGTGAGAAAGACAAGTGATCGTCACATATAAGAATGGTCCCTGAAGGAAACCTCATCATAATATACACTGAGGGAATACAATGTCTCATACAGAAAGCGTCTCCAAATCATAGCTTGCTCAACTCAAGCCACACCAAACCCACACTGACAACTACCCTTAGAATACATGTCAGATCTGTCTCTCAAAGGCCAGGGCGTAGGCCACCTAAATATGTACATGCCTCATCTAAACCACCCTGACCCTCAAAACCCCAACTCAGTAGAAATACTAGAGTTTAGATCTAGATTAACAGTAATCATCAAAATGTCTTCTAAGTCTAAGAGAGTATCACACAGAATCTAAGTTGATACCTCACAAAATGTTCGCTCACTTATATAGACAAAACCGAGCCCTACCTCCTCAACTCCTCCTGGTTTTGCCTATATAACTGAGCCCTAAGTCCATCTGCGGACTTCTCTACTATCCTACCCTGTCTATCATACATTTTACCCCCTACCTCTGAGATCTTCCCCGCTGCCTTATCCTCAAGAAACTCGAGACAGTCCAAAGCATGATGCGCGCTTCTCTTGCAGTAGAAACATAGTTGATCAACCTTCCTCTTGAACTTCCTCTTCCTGGCTGAGGAGGTGGTGATGAAGGAGATCCTGCCAAGGTACTGATAACCCCCTGCTGCTCTGCTTGAGAAGCTGCAGTACCAACGACTTCCTGCCGCTCTGTCCCCGGAACTGGTCCACCCGACCCAGATCTAGTAGCCCAAAATCCTAGTCTGCCTCTCAAATCCTTTGTCGCTGGAACACCCTCGGGCGTGTCCAACCTCTAAGGCCTCCTCTCGAGTGTCGCCCCTGGCACTGCCGTGGGCTGCTCCTCAATCTCCTCTGGTCCATACTCAGGTGTGCCTATCCTCTAGGGTCTGCCCTCGATGGCACCCTCCTCCTCAATCCCCATCTCTCTCTCAAGAGGCTCCT